CCGACTGCTGATGCTTTTTTTTACCTGGGCTTTGGAGTACCATACTTTAATACATGTTTTTGGGACTTGTTCCTTAAAAGAACCATTATGAAATAAAAGTCTATACTTTTTTCTCCCTGGTTACTTCAAAGCCCCGTTAGTAATGCTAGCTTTGTCCGGTCCGTCCAGTTTGGAAGCTAAGGTGACCAGCAATTTTTAACCCAAGCTTCGGAGCCTCATACTGCGATCGCTGAGGAGGAACCTCTAAAGACTGTAGGGCTACGGAAAGCCGTGTGAACAACTTGGGAATGTGTAGAGTTTAGGGGTTTAGGGTTTAGAGTTGACGGAGAAAGTTCAATTAGTCCTTCCTGAAGCTCGCAACTGCAAACCCTACACCCACGTCTCAGCGATGCCACCCAACAATCTGGTTTTAAGCTGAAAGCTTCGGACCTTCAAGACCCCCGAAATCCCAATGTAGAAGTCCGAACTATTATCCATTTTGTTCTAATTAGTATACGACCCTTTCACTGAGCCCAACGCCTCCAAGGCAAGCGCTGGGTGTCGGCATCCCGTGACGGCACCGTGCGCGTTTGGGAGTTGCCTGCCGTGACAGGCCAGTCCCTCTCGTGGCTTAGCGGTTTATAGGGTTCAAAGGGCTTGTGCTGTAGTGCTTATCTAGGGCCTATAGGGTTCAGGATTTATAGGATTCAGGGTTTATAGGGGTCAGGGTTAAATACGAAAGGGTTCAAGTGTTTGGGGATATTTGCGGGCAAAGCAGTTCGAAGTGAAGTGCTTGGCAGACTTGGCAGTGTGAGGGTTGTTGCAAACTTCCTTCAATTCAGGATGTGGGCCATTGGGTGCTTGCTTGCAACTCTTGTATTTTTCCAATCACTTGTAAACGTCACTTTTAGCTGCTGTTTTTTTCCTGTTCGCGTGCTTGGTTGATGCTAGCCATGTTGTGCCATATATGCTTTTGTGACTGGTTTATACCGTGCCATGAGATGCGCCACTGCTCATGAGTTGAATGTAGTGGGGCATGGCCGTGTGATTGACCTGAAATCGCTCCGGGGACTTGGCATGCAACAAAGAACCCAGAGACTCCAATATTCCGTAATTAAGGAATATTCCTTAAATTATAGTAGGATCCTTAATATGATTTAAGGTATATTCCTTAATTAAGGGGTATTGGAGTCTCTGGGAAAAGCGGCGCCTGAACTCATTCTGGCTTGTCCTGTTCAGATCTCGGGCCCGTCTTCAGAGACGCGACGTATGCCAGCTCCAGAGTGCTCCGTGGTCATCGAGGCGCGCCCAATGTAGGGGCCTAAATATTTACCAATACTTTTTGGGGGGGGCTCCTTATTACAATTATAATATAATGGGCCCCAAAACCCTTTTCTAATTATTAAGGCCCTTATATCACTCTTTGCGGGGCTTTGTTGGGGTTGAAGTCGGTTTCGGAAGCGGAATTGCGCGGGAGGTGTGGGACCGTTGCAGGGCGGGGGTGTGGTTCCCCAGACCCCACAGACAAGTTCGGTTCAGGCACGATGATGCCCCAAGCATGCGAAGAGCCCACACTCAGACTAGTTGTAGCCTAAACCCTAAACCCTAAACCCCTAAACCCTAAACCCTAAACCCCTAAACCCTGCAATGCGGGCTCGTCCTTGCTATGTAGGAGGCAAAAAACCCCTAAACCCTAAACCCCTAAACCCTAAACCCTAAACCCCACCCTAATAATTGTAGCATGGGTCTTGCACGCGAAGCGAGGTTGAGGTCTGGCTCAGAGTCTTCGACAGAACGACAGCTGTTCAACATGCCCTCGCAGGTAGTATTATTAGGGGTACCCCCTTAAAGGGTACCCCTTCTGAACCCTACTTTTGGCTCGCTTAAAAGGGACCTTATTGAGAGGGTCTATATTCCCAAGGGTCCCCCAAACCCTAGCTCCCACCTCGTCGAAGTCCATCCTTCTTTGGAATCACGAAGGCTAGCGGAAAGAAGCCCTTGTGGCATCGTGCTATACGGCACTGTCTTTCGCCATCCCTCACCTATGTAGCAGTATGGAGGATCTGTCGCGCGTTGTCGTTCATGTGGTTGCGGGCAATATTGCAAACCTGATTGCAATCAACACCTCCAGATCGCAGGCAAACCCTGAAACACAGGGGGATTGGGGCCTGAATACCTGCAATTGCAAATGATTTCTTGGGGTTCCAGAAGTACGTACAGTATTCAAAGGGAGTTCCCCGAAAACACGATTTTAATTTTTCAGGCTCCTGCGTTAACCAGTCTTAAAATTCTCTTTCGGGTAGATGCCTGGTCCGAGGCCCCGTGTCCTGCGCCGCCATCTCAGAGGATGGCACCTGGGCCATGTTGGAACGCGGGGGCATTGTGCGGCATTGTAGTTTTGGGTCTGAAGCGCTTATGCTGTCGGAGCATTTGTCCTTTTATAAGGGTGCCGTACTGTAATGGGGACCTGAAAAGGGACCCTAATTTAGAGATCTTCCCATTTACAGCTGATTCCTATTCCGAATCAACTTCCCGAGTCTCCCATGTCACTTATTTTTTAACGAAAAATTAAACAACAACTGATTCCTATCCCGAATCAAGTTCTGAGTCTCCCATGTTACTTACTGTTACTTCTCCACCGCAACGGAATGGAGCCGGCCTTTGGGTGCCATGAACTGTGTGTCCAGAGCACTGCAGCACAACAATATACTATAGGGCTTCAATAATTGCCTATGCTATTTTGGGGGGGCGCCTTAGTTAAGGAATATACCTTTAATTATGGTAGGTTTCCCTAATATGATTTAAGGTATATCCCGTAAGTAAGGGATGTTGGAGTCTCTGGGGGGTTTTGGGTTTGGGAGCTGAGGAATGTCAGTCAAAGGAAGCTTATCTCCCCGAGTATTTAGCTATCCTACGGTTGATGATGTATAAATCCTGCATCACCCATAATAACGAACATACGAATATACCCATAATTCCCATATTTCAGGGTCCTTAAGGTAATGCAGGACTTATATCATCAACAGTAGGATACCCTGTACCCTGATGTGGGGGCATAGACGGTCAGACCGAAGCTGCATGAACCCTTCTTCTCCACACCGTCGCAAGGCACTCTGCGAACGTGGTGTCTGTCTCGCATAGACTAGGCCAGCCCTCCACTTAACGGGGCCTCACCCTGCATGTCAAGACCCAGAGAGGGAAAGCCCTGGAGCGACGCTGCAACCGAGGCAAGCATTCAGTCTCAAGCTCGTGACCTGATGCAGTCAGTGCAGGTGTCAAGTGGGTGGTTCTCTGAATTTTGGGTCTGAATTTTTGGTCCCTTTCTGAATCCCCCAATATAGTACGGCACCCTTATAAAAAGGAACCCTAAAAGGGACCCTNNACCCTAATTTAGAGAACTACCCAGTGAAGTTGCCAGTGAAGGCATCTTCTCGAGCCTTGACCTCGTAGGCCTTGGCAGGGAGCCAGTGGTGGTTCGAACGTTGAGTGTGCCTGGGCCGTGGATAATGATGGTTTGCTTGAGCCAGACATGATCACACCTTTTTTGATCGGTGGTGTTTCAGGGTCAAGGTGAAGGTTTAGACACGCACACGCTCTCGATCTTCGCTATTGGGGGGGGGGGGGGGGNNGAGTTGTAGATCTCAGCGACTAGCCTAGAGTCTTACTTGCATTTATTGGCAGTTCCGTCACTGTGCGACATGGTGGGAATAAGCGGATCAGCGACGAATGGTTGGAATTTACTGGGTACCAGTTTTTGTTGCAACAAGCACTTCCGGCCGTCGCACGCCATATTTGTGTAGAAACCACGCATGAGCAACCCCATGCCTCCTAGGTGGGACAAGACACTAAAGTACTGGTCCCTGGATACAGGCAAATGCCTGCGCACCTTGTCTGGGATCATGGCCTCAATACAATGCTGGCAGCACCCGCGGTAAGGTTATAGTTTTCGGGTCTTGGCACAGACAGGTCACCTAGTCGACTTCGAGCAACACCAGCAGCAGCAATGGCGAAACCACCAACGAAGATAGCAACAGCATACAACGACGACAGGAGCAACAACTGCAACAGCAACAGCGCTAAAAGCACGATGAAGCACAGCCCACGTCAGCACAATGGGAATCAACAGCAACAAACGCACTGCCGCTACCAGCGGCAAGATTAGGAACAACAACAGCGACGACGACGACAACAACGACAACGACAACCACAACGACAACAACACCAACACCGACACCGACACCGACACCGACAGCAACACCAACACCAACACCAACACCAATACCAATACCAACAACCACAACAACCACAACAGCCACAACAACCGCAACCACAACAACCACAACAACCACAACAGCAACAACCACAACCACAACCACCATAACCACCGCAGCAACGTAAACAGGATCAGCATCGGCAGCTGCATCTACAGCAACAATTGCAAAACGCACTGGATAAACACCAGAAGGCACATTCGGCTTCGTCATCGCCGTCCCCACGGCATCCAACAGCACCGCACCGACGCCTTACAAGGTGATGCCAACCCCCCAATACATCTGCCTGCCCCGAATGAATTAATGAATTCAAAAAATATCCCCCGTCCTCACCGGATTCCCCACTCCCTCGAATGTTACGTTCAATCTCAACAGAAGGGAGAGTCAGCAGAGAGATGAAACAGAAGACAGAGTGATGGGTAGAGACGTGCTATGCCCCAAACTCCAAAGGTCTAGACTCTGAAATACTTGTCGCATCACTTGGCAGCGAAAGCAATTTCCCGCAACCGCGAAGTGCAACCGAAGGCCATGTAATTACTTTGGGCCCCGCCTATCCTCGATCGCCCCGATGGAGAACTTGATGCAGACCCGAATACAGCAGCAGCAGTAACAACCCTACCCATAGCAGCAACAACGGCAATATTGAACCACGACGGCAGTGATGCCCAACAATCGTAATTGTGCCCGCAGCGGCAGCAATAGAGATTGAAGCAACAGCTGGCAAGTTCACTTTCCAACCCTAAACCCTAAACCCTAAACCTCGCATGATTATCCAGGTACCTTCGAGGGCCACGAGAACCACGTCAACTGGGCGCTTCGGCTTTGCGAAGCCCGTGCCACACACACACAGACACACTTGGTTTAGGGTTTAGGGTTTAGGGTTTAGGGTTCCAGCAGCAGAGTACAGTATGAGCAACGGCAGGCGGCATGGATTTCCAGCCTCGGGTTCTTTTGATTCAGATCGGATGGTCCGGGTTTAGAGTTTAGCCAGAATTGACGAGTGACTGACAAATGACAACCTACAGCATAAGCCGACAGGTTTGCAAACCGATCAGGCGAAGACACCAGCAGGTCCTAAACCCTAAACCTTACACCCTAAAGCCCCAAAAAGAGTGGGCCACAAGCCCAGGTCTGTTTCTCGACCAGCGACGAGAAGGAGTTTCTGTCTGCCTCCAGCGACCGAACATCCAGATGTTGGAGCCATGACGGCAAGTCCCTTGCGCATCAGAAATCCCGTGTCAGTTCTCTTGCTGCAATGTTCTGTCAACTGAACGTGGCAAGGGCTTTAATTCGACATGCTGCTGCAACTCCATGAACTGAAATTAAAACTGTGTCGCAGACTGCGTAAACATGTCTGCCGTGCACACTTTGTTTTGGAAAAGCATTGTTCTGAGCTTGTAGGATTGATTCTGTGACGAGAAACAACAAAGAAACTAGCAGGCGGAAAAAGCAAATCTACAATTGCCATTTATCTCCCGGTTCTCGCATTGCATGAAAGCATAGTCGGCAGAACAGGGTGTAATTAGTTGACATCATGTTTTGTTGTACACTGAAGTGCCCACTCTGGCCCAGCTGATGAGCACGATGCTGGCCGTATTATCTCGTTTGATTGCTGCTTGGGTAGAATCTGGCCAGCTGGTGCGCGTAATGCTGGAGCTTGGCTGAGCTGATGCGTATGATGCTGTCCGAACCGTCTCGCTTAATTGCTGCCTGGGGTACCGGAGAATTTGGCCAGCTGATGGTCATGACATGCGAGGGCTGCCTTGTCGTTTCACAAGAGCGGAACATGCCTCACGCTTGTCCTGGCAGCAGTGAACACTCCGGATTTTGCAAACGTTGCACAAGACTTGCTCCAAACATTTGGGAGTTTCCGAAAAACTGGGTACCTAACTTTGGGGTCACGTCCTTATAATAAGGATCCTACTATCTAGGGTACTTTCTTAGGGTCCCCGATTTCCGGAAACCCCCATTCTGCTGGCACAAGATCCTCTTCGCTGCATCAAAGTAGACTCATTTCGGAGTGCGTCCTCGATATTTGACGCTCATCTGCAACCCTAAACCCTAAACCCTAAACCCTAAACCCTAAACCCTAAACCCAACGGTCCACCCCACAATTTGGTCCCCAATTTGTTCAGTCAAAGTCTTTCGGCCCCTGGGTTCCGTCTGTTTCGGTGTTCGGTGTTTGTGCCTGCTACTACTGGTCAGCTAAATATCACTTTGGTGTTCGCTGTCATGTTCCCTATCCTACTGCGACATTATAAGTAGTAAAAAGTAGTACTATTGTATACTATATTGTCATTTGCTGTTGTTGTTGCTGCTTTGGATCGATGCAAAGGTGACACCCTTCCGTAGCTCGAACGGACGCCGAGCTCAGGAGCACCGAGGGGTTGCAGCAGGGCTGTTTGGCCTCCCGGCATTCCTTGGAGCGGTTTAAGAACCGTTGTTTTTGTATTGTTTTGTTTGGGGATCCTTTCGTGGGTCTAGGGTTCTTTTCGGCAACTGGTATACGGCATATGTGTCGCTTTTTGAGGGGTTTCTAATCGGGTTTAATTAGGCTGACGTCTCATGCTCCTGCGATTTGGGCTCGAAGTTTGCTTCGCATGGCTCGACTCCTTGGCGGGGTTGCCACACAGAACGGTGCAGAGCTTCTATAAGAAGCTTGTGAGCGCGTTGTTGCCTTTGCAATCACAAGCCACATACATGAATTTTATTCATCCCGCTGCTACACTGGCAAAGACCACGTGCCAAAACCGATTCGCACGCAAACTGCCAGTCATCAGTGCAAAGTGAAGCTACCCGCCCGCCAAACCCGATTTAAACAGATGAGCAATGACTCAACCGTATGAGAGAGTAGATGTACCCTTGCTATATACTTATTCGCTTGGACTGTCTCCGTGAGTGGGTCATCTTCTTTTGCTCTCTTTCTCTCTCTCTCTCTCTCTCTCTCTCTCTTAGTTTGCAGCGAAGACAGAACTAGTCCGAGCCTATCAAGCCTTGTGCGAGTGTGAGAGTCGAGACCCTAATAGATCCTACAGGTCCTACAGGTAGCCTGGCGATGGGTGGACTCAAAGGGCTCTCATCTCTAGTTTTTTGGTCGTTATCTTTATTTGTGGTCTTTCTGGTTCATGAGTCCCCCGCTGCCAAAACCGTGAGCGTAGGAAATGCCTACTATTGCTTCACCGTGTTCTAAGCTCATTTAGTTCTGGGGGTGGAATAGTTGCATGCATGCCAACGTCCAATGTTTTCACACCGACTGTCGCACATGGATCCTCGCCTGGCTTGTCCGAGTTGTGAGAGTGTAATAGATCCTTACAGTGCGACAGCGGGGAAGTCAGTTTATGAATTATGATTCACTTGTTTGTTTGGCCATGACGAGTGATTCGCTCTCAACTCGCTTGAGCATTCACCATGGAAATCCACTGGTCCAGCCCAGATGACCTCCGGTTCTCAACTCTCTTTTCGACTCACTTGCACTCATTCGGCATTTCCCCGTCCCGCGCTGCATAGGCGCCAAGACCCCACAAAAGCTTTGCGACGAAGCCGCGGCCATCCAAAGATTTTGCTGATACGAAGCGTCGCTGCAGACCTTGTACTGGAAACCTGTATCTGAAGTCAATGACAGAAACCAGCATCTGTGAGTCCTCCCACAATTTCATGATGGCTCGCCAAGAATGGCGGCTCGACTAGACGTTTTGCAGTGTTGCTAACTGCGAAAGGTTTGCGGCCAGTCTACATGGCATTGGGGCCAGCCTTTGGGGTACACAGGCGCATACATACGCTTCGAGTAGCCGTAGGTCGGTAGGTAGCACGGTACAAGAACGCAGGCAGCATATGCAGCATAGTGACACTATGGAGCTTGTCAATGCGGTGGTTTTCCGTGAAATCGAGGAGAAGTTGATAGTGGAATTATCCGGGCCTCCGCGAAATTAAAAACCACATCCTTCAGGTGAGCCGACATCGAATCGAAACCAGTTACAAAATGTTGCAAACTGAAACCCTGAAATATCAACCTGCTAGGAAGTCGGCGGCAGCTCATCGCGCTGCCATGACGATTGGATCACAGCAGTAGCCGCTTAGCTTGATCTGCAGAGTTCCGGATTGCTTGGAAGCCGACATAAAGTACTGTAGGGGCCTTATTCATTACCTGTACTATTTTGGGGGTTCCTTATTTTACCATTATGGCATAACGGGCCCCACAACCTATTCTAATTATTAAGGCAACTATATTACAATCCTGGCTTTTTTGAATCTATTTCGGCTACGTCAGGCATATCACTCCGGATCATCAGACGACCAGCTCAAGGGATTCTGTTCAGCGTGCGTTGAGACAGCTGTGCAAGTCGAGGCTCTGTAGCTGGAACACCGGAGCTTTACTTTAAGCTCTTCGCGTCGTCCGCCTCGGCCCGGTTGTACTTGAAGCTGGTGCAATGACTGTTGCTTCAGATGTTTTTTAACGTGAGTGTTCGCGTTGACGCTGCATGCAACAGCGCATAGACGTTATGACCGGGTTTTTAAGGTGTTGCAACATGTACGGGGGAATCAAGTTTTGCAACAAACTACAAGACACAGCCTTTGAGTTGCCATGCTCTGGCATCGAATTCGCGAATGACGCAAGCTAGACCGTCTTGGCCTGGCCGTAAGCAAAAGCCAGGGAAAGGGATAGGGAAACAAAGAAAGACGCCGGGACCGGAAGGGAAAAGCTGATTTGCCTGCACAGTGATGCAAAGCCGCACTTCGAGACTTGACTCCTGTTGCGTCCTGGGGCGTCTTTTGTTTGTTGACCGTGGTAGAGACATGTATGCCCGGCACTAGCAGCATTGCATGAAACTCATGACAAGTAAGTGGAATATCAAAGACAAACCTGTGGATAACGGCCGGGCCGAGGCGAATTATGACGATGGTGATGACATTTTTACGCCGCCAGCTTGTATCCTTGAGGTGCACGCGCCTTCATCTACCAAGAAGGCCAGGGCCGCGACCTGCGGCTGGGACAAGCAAATCCGGGCTGCGCGGCCGCAGATTTGGAATCCCGGTGGCGCTTTCCAGCTGAATGCCTCTCTGGGATTCTGGACTCGGAAGCCCCGGTCTTTAGGCAAACCTTTAGGATGAAGTTTCGCCAGAAAGCGACAAGACATGCCAGTAGGACACCTGTGCCCAAGAGCACCTTCTGAGCCAGGAACCGGCTTCTGGCCGTTGCTGTCTTGTCTCGGGTTGGTCGCAGCACTGACTACGACTCCCCCGTTTCCCCGAATCGCTTTCAATAAACCAATCAATTTGTGACCAAGGTTTGGGATTCTGGTACACGACAGGTTCTACACACCCCGCCGATGCTTGGCTCGACTGATGGCAAGTGGTAGACACAGAGACATTTGATTTTGGACCTGTTGTTTTAAAGATGGCAAAAGGCCGAATGCCAGGCTAACAGAAAGGTTTTGCAAGCATGCCGCCATTGAGCCTCTACACTGCATTTTATCTACCTCGGGCGCCCGTCCAGAAAAAATCGACAGGCTTCTCGCTGGAAGATATTCAGTGGCAGGATGTACAAGCTTGGAGCCAAGCCAAGACCCAAGGTAGGAGCCTGCATGGCACTAAACTGTCAAGGATAGCCCTTTGCATCCTTGCCAAGTTCGTTCGCGAAGCTTTGAGATGTTCCGACGTTGCTTGCATGCTGTCCAGCACGGCTCATACCGGATGCGCGTCTTCAGTAATTATTCCTCGGCAATGCATCTGTGCTGCCCGTCTTGGATGTTTCTCGTGAGTGGCCCTGCAACTGCCACTATAAACACGACAGCAGAGTGCGATGAGTTCAGTCCACGAATGCAACGGAAAACCACTACACGCGCCCTTTGTTGCATCAAGAGCACACATTTGAGTCGTTATGGAGCCAAGTGGTTTGTCAAGCTGCCTTCGGCCCTTGCTCGCGATCGTGGTAGCCACAATGAAAGTGCTCGGGTTTCGCGGCAATTGCATTGCTTTCGAGAACCAGAACTTGCAGGCCGTCTTTGTTGCATGCCTCTGGCCCTGTTTGCAAAGGTGTTTTCACAGTGCAGCCATCCACGCGCTCGAGATTTCACCGGATGCCAGCTTGTTCTTCGGCCGCTGCTGTTTAAGACCTCTAGTTACTTATGTTGCAGTTCTAGTGTTCGTGTCTTGGTCTTCAGGCGATCATCGCAGGTACTGCAACAGCCTGGGTTTCAAAGGCACATGATTAAGAGCAAACGCCTGGCATTTCATGGCACATGGTTACCTACAAAACTTGAAGATCAAGTCGGATGGAGAGAAAGAAATATCTGGGCCTAACACTTCCCGCAGGTTGCCTCGATAAGCTGCATCGTAGTCACAGGGTATACACCCCGCTGACGTGAGGCGGAGAGTCAAAGATAGCTGTGCTCGTCTGCCGCGCGAACTGTTGTAGAAGCTTATCTTCATTCGCTCATATTGCACTGCAAAACTCGCAAGGGTCGTTGTCCTAACACTAAAATTAGAAGGCTCTGAGCCCTTTTGTTGAACTTCGTTCGCCATGACATGCTTTGATGAGGTTTTTTGGTGCTTCCCGAAATACAAAACTCTCTGCCTTAAGCCGATTGCTGCTGACTTCTGTCAGACATCAAGCCAGTATGTGCGCTGACATGTCGATTTTGCTAAGAAGCTTGTTGCATCGCGGCCCGCTACCGTTGGCGTACGGTGTAGAAACTATCGTATTTAGTCAATCACTCCTTGATGATAGTTCGCAACGCCTCTCTGTTTTCAGACTCTTTAGGCCTTGGCAGGCAGTCTAACCCCGGCTTAACACTTGAGGCTGGCATCTGGTGGCCGAGACTGCGCGGCACTGCTGTGGGATGTGGAAGAGCCTTGGAAGCACAGGTTGCTGTCCGCTTCGGTGCCAAAGGTCGCAGAATGCTTTGGTGCACCAGGGCATCTTTGAACCCTGACCTGAATCCTGCAGAGATGTCCGCTCCAAGCTGCATGCAGCTCAGGAGGGCAAACTGCTGGCTGGCCTCCAGCTTGCACATTGCATCAATGCCTTGGCCACTCAGCATCTAGAAGTCGGGACGGTCGAGGTTCAGCTTGTCAGAAGCATCCAAGTACATGTCTGCAGGTTGTGGTCGGGGGTGTTGTGCATGGTACATTCTCCGGGCCAATACTGCAACCGATCAGCAGACAGAGTAGCTGATTCTGGTTCGTAGCGACAGAGTTTGGTGTATACATGGTTACATGTGGATACTTGCTGTAGTAGATATTTCTATTTATTCGTAAACAATATATAGATGTATATATATATATATGTACATACATTCATGCTACATACATACTACATTTATCTGTATAACGAAAGCATGTATGCACATGTATGTAGTATCTGTTGGTCACACTGTACGATGTTCTCCCTACGGTTGCTTCACGGAGATTATCGCAAAACTCTTTAAACCGCTCCTGGGGGCATCACTCACGATCCCTGCAATGAACACTCCGGGGCACTGCAAAGTGCGGCTAGGGGCCTGTTACTAGGAACCTGATTAAGAAACCCTGGTCCTATAGCCCCAGTATATTGGAATCTAGAAAAGAACCCAAATAAAGACGCAGGGTTTCAAAACTCGGTTCCAATATTAGTCGTCAGAAAAGGGGGTGTCCGAAAATAGGGGACCCTAATAGTGGGACCCGTATTATAAGGACCCCAAAATAAGGTACCCCTAATTTTCGGAAGCTCCCAAAAGTTCCAGGCCCTCCAAGGCCTCTGAGGGCGAGACGGATACGGCATGTTACTCTTCTGGCCCTGCTCCCGCGAAGGCAACATCCACCACAAGCAAAGATCCAGACCAAGTCCTAGCTAAGCCTTATCAGACCCACGCCTATCTATAGGCCCTCACACCTTCCTAACCCTACACCTACTATATCTACACCTATCGCCCTTTTTGAAGGTATCCCTAAACCCTCAACCCGTAACCCCTAAACCCTAAACCCCTGGTGCCCATGATGTCTGATTTGCGGCCCAGGCCTTTAGCCCCCTGCACTACTGGCTTGCTATGGCATCAGACGACGGGATCGAAGCCCCGAGGTTCAAAGGTGGCGCTTTTTGCCGGTTCACATGTAGAGAACCGGGGTTTTTCGAGGGGTTAATTCAGGGTCCGGGTTGATGCTGAGTTGCTTTCGTGTCTTCAAAACTTCGTTTTTGCGTTGGAAGGGTCACCATGGCTTGAATATGGAGTCGGCTCTCTTTCGCTCAAGGCCTGGGCTGGACATATACACAAGGAGGCGTGGGAGAGCGCAAGCTGGCACACAACCGTTGAAAGATTCCAAGATGCGTCCGTCCCGGGGTTGCATGTAACTTCACCGGACATACGTTGTAAACATGACGGTTTAGGGTTTAGTTTTGCTGATTGGCAGAGTCTGGGTTCAAAAATGGCTTAGTTTTGTCCAGGCACTCTCTCAATGCTTCTTCATGCCATTTCGCTCCACAGCTGCTGAATTCGTTTCGCCGTGGATAGACACCAAGCGCTGCTGGTGTGAACGACGGAAACATGGAAATGGCTCTGGAAAACCTAAACCCTAAGGTTTGGGACCTGGAGGTGAAGAAAAGGAGCCTTGGTCGCGCTTAGCCCATGAAGCTAGACTTTACGGGTTTTGGATTTTGGGTTGAAGGTTTATCGGTGAGCAGACGTAGGCAAGGACCTTTCCGTGCCTGCTTGCTGCCTCTTGCTTTAAAAAAAAGCAAGAGCCTGCTTCTGACCTTCTGCACCCCCGACCTACTTGGAGGATCATGGGACTTAGTAACCAGTGTTATAAATAAGGTAACCATAATTATAACCCCACTTAGGGTACTTATAGCCTTCCTTACTAAGTCCC